AATTAAACGTTAATGTCACGGGCTGCGACAAACAGAAATAATTCACTCAATGGTATTTGCTATGGAATTTAATTTTAAGCGTTGAACTAAATATCCATGCAGATTATTAAGACAACACTCTGATGTTTTTCATTTATTAATACCGATTTCGTTTCAACGATTTTATTTTAATTGCACAGATCTTGTTGATACAACATCATTCTTTTTTTCCGTGTACGTATTTGTGTATTTCGAGTACAAGAACAGTGCACAAAGTGAAATACTGTTGTATCAAGAGACACGGTGGTGTCTCTGTACTACTGTGTATCTATACACGAGCCGGTTAGTTGAAAGTTTTTAAATTACCTCAACAAAAACTAAACCGATCGAATTCTGCAGGCTTAATCGATAGTCGAGGTTCGAATTATATAGCAAAAGTGTTTTCATTTTACATCTACGTGTTCTACGAGCAGAGATATTACGATGCGAAATGTAAACTTTTACATCAAGCTGAGTCATCATCGCCAGGTCTCTTGCATTTAAATATTTTTGTATTTAACTCTTTTTTTTCATTCTTGATTAAGTCTTTTATCCCATCGAGATACTTCTAGTGCATACTGTATACATAATTATAATTGTGTTCAGCTAAAAAATTTATTAAAATGGTATAAAATGAGAAAATAGAATTTGAAGATTTAATTTGCTTTCATAATCATCTTCTTATTAACTTTTCAACTGCATTTAAATATCTTCTGTTATCTTGCTGGCTTTCCAGATATTTAATTTTCAAAGGTTTATCATATTTCCCCTCTGTTTGGCGCAATTTTCGGATTTCAACATTTGTTTTAAAAAAAAACACTTAACATTTTAAAACCATAAAATGTTGAAAAACACAAATACTATTCGCCTAAACATAATTTTTACGGAAATTAATGCCATTTACGTTGCACTGCATAATTATATTTTTTATTAAATATATGAAAATGACTTTGTACAACAGATTCTTTCATATTGTTAACATGTTCGCTATGAACCACGCTTCCAGAAGAAATAGTTCATTTTATCGCTGTCGAATAAAGTACATTTTTAGGAATCCTATTTATAATCTCGTTACGTGCTGTATAATACAAAAAAATGTTCGAAGAATTAAAAATACGTACGTAAAGCACATTACACACGTATCAAGATGTACAGCATGCAAAGATATAAGTAGTATTATATCATATCCTGAAATCAGATGCGAATCGTAGCTCGCTCCAAGTGAGTTTAACTCAAAAGTCGTAACAACGTAGATAACAATCTAATATGTTTTAATTGTGTGTACGTATTTAGCGTAGAACAACTACAATTATCGACGCGTGTCCGGCGATCATTTTCCCAAGCAGTTTAAGAACAACTCAGACATGGCACGCTCTACAAAGAAATTTTCAAAATCTGGTGTAGCAGCGAACGCGGCAACGTGTGCGTGCGTGCGCGTACGTGCGTTAATATTCCGAGCAGAAAATAGATATCCTGTGATTTATTCAGTCGCAATGCGACAATCGCCTCGCGCTCCATGCATATTTAACGTATCATTCTGTAACGCGCGTCTTTCTTGCGTAACTTGGGAGACATAGGTGCTCTCGCAGCTCCGTAGATTGATTGGAAAACGCTGATTGAGGGGCCCCCCCTCCGTCCCTTATCGGTAAAGTCGCGGATTAATTATGCGGACGATTTCACGGGTCGTAAGGTCTGCGATTCGCGAAAGAGTGTGACGCACGTGTGCGTGTTCAAGGGCCATCATTCAGACACGTGTAACGCGCGTTATGCCTCAATTGCGTGTACCGAGAGGTAGATGTTCCGCATTTCGCTGACACCGGGCGCTTCACGCTCCGTGGCCGCGTGAATAAATGAACGCGACGTACGTATAAATAACGTGTTCCTTGTTTACTACACCGCTGACTTAAATTATAGAATTATGATTTACGATCGCGCGCGTGGCTACGTCTGCGCGAACGTAACGTTGATTTAACGTTACGTTAATACGTCACGGCTGAAAACCGCGCGCCCGCACACGCGCGTCCCACGTGGATCGTTATTGTTAGAGGCATTAAAAATACGTTGTAAGTAGCACTGATAACGGCCGCGGCATGTTCGGATCTTTTATCAGCGCTTTTATCAGTAACTTTCAACGGTATAAGCATAACCGAAACTTCCTGCGCCGCAGAAGTCAGCGCTTGGAGGTGCAACGAAACATGACTGTATCATAATGTTATCGAAACTCTGTAAAGCGCAGCTTTAAACCCTTTTATAATTACTGTAAAATGTAACTGTACACGAGAAGACGATCAATCATGTAATATTGATAAACAAATAAAAAAGAGCAGTGCTTATCGCACTTTAAAGAATGTTAGAGGAAAAACCTCTATTATGAAATAGCACCCACAGAAAAAATTTCCGGATCCAATGCTATTACACTTCAAAGTATCCTAAGATAGGATCGATATAGCGCCAATCGTATTTATTATAGAGAAAGGAATATTTTAATCTTAAATAAAAAATCTAAAATCTAGAATAAAATGGTAAGCAGTATATATCGTCTTTTGTCGAATATCGTGGTGCCAACTTCGTGCGTTGTAAGACGGAGGGAAAATTTATTCTAAACGCAAGAGTTTATATAAGCTACTCTTGTCTCAATATAGTAAGTCAATCTTTTTTAGTTCGATAGAGGAGAAAAAGCATTATTGATTTAATTTTGCTACTGTCTTATTTTTATACTAAATGAGGTTGCGAGAAATATAAATGCGTCAAGAATATTTTTTGTCTCGGCAACAGAAATCCCTTCTGAGGGTGAGGATTCTAAACATGAGAAAGTACACTGAGAAAAATGTCCGATTAAATATAATCGGATAATCCAATTACATGATAACAAACGGATATATCCGATTAAATTGTATATCCGATGAAAAATTTGATCGGTTTTTCAATGAAATTTCATCGGTAATTGCATTTCATCGGATAAATTTCATCGGATATATCCATAATTTAATCGGAAAACGTAATCGGAAAAATTAACCATCGGACATACTATTTAATTGGTTTATCCGATGAAAATTTTTCTCAGTGTAGGCTTTCAACGTCCAAATATAATCACAAATCTATTTTCGCAGCGATTACACGACCTAACAATCAATTTTCCACTAAACAGATTTCACCTCAAGGGCGATAAATTCACGGTGGAACCAACAGACGATGGCTATTAAATTTAGCAGAAACTCCGCTATCTCATATTAGGAGCTTATCTCATAATAGGAGACTTTCCTCTATAAATATCGACTAGTCACTTTCGCAAGGTCGCATCTCCATTTTACGCAATTTCTGATTTTTGTGCCTAAATACTCATTCTGGACCAGAGCGTTTAAGTGCAAAGACTGAAAATTGCGTAAAATCGAGATACGACCTTGCGGAAGAGATCAGTCGATATGTTATACCGTTATTAAAGGAGAGAGATAATAAAGAAAATTATTCCGCTTGACGTATCCTCCTTCGTTTGTATAATTCTATTTTCACAAGTCTTACGTATAAATATGCTTTTTATATTTTTATCTACCGTGCATCACGTTCTTCTTACTATTCCGTTTGGTAAAAATATAATTTTTGCAGTCCAGAGATATCAGAAAAATCGCGGCCACAGCAAATTATCTTTAATAATGGAACGAAATGTATGTGACAATAATGTCTCTGCTAATATTTATACTCTATGGAAGTTTTTTAACATTTAAAAAAGTTCCTTTAAAAATTGTCATCGTTAAGTGTATGTTATCGCGTTTAATAATTTCCCTTTTCCATCGACTTTTATCACCAATCGCGAAAGTAGCGCAATGATAAATTGTGCGATTGTCGCATATTTCTTTTTCTACACCATTTAGAATATACCTCGTAAGATCTTAATTTATGTTTTTGATATCGCTTGCCACACATTTCATTGCATACGTGATTGATTAAGGTTTTTACAATTAAAATACGCCCGTGACTTTTATAATTATTACTCGATTTGATAAAGCGATATCTTGACATAGAACTAATTGAGCGGATACGTTATATTTAAAGCCTGGCCCCGTTCCTATTGCCGACATTATCGCGTTTAGGCGATTGCACGGGCACGTTATACATTATATTCCACGAGACTCGTAGTTTCGCATATTACTGAAAACGAATATAAGCCTCAAATATCAAACGAATATCTCGTGCACAATGCACATAATCCTAACGCGATGATCGAATTATTCCATTGAATTCACTATGTCGTATTGAAATAACAACTAAACTGTAAAAAGCGTAGATCTCATCCACGCGAGATAAAATCGTATATTCGTTGAAACGAGAAGCGATTTACTTACGAGAAGATCAATCATTCCTCGCGTTTATATTACGTAAATTCTCATCTAACGTTACCTCACTCTTATTCATCGATTATAATACTTAATATTCCTCACAGCATGTAAACCTCGACGAAGATATCAGATAGATGAGAATTTCAGCGCAACAGTTTTTATTTTAATTTCATTTACAGCATTCGTCGCCAGAAAATTAAATTATAAAAATTAAATCTTCTTACGTTTTTAATGCGAGAATGGAGAGACGAACAAACAGTTGCCGCTAATCAATTTTCTCAATTTCGAAAATTTCCAGACCGCGTCACCGGAATTTCTGAAGCCGCATCATCGCGTCGCAGCTCAGACCGGCGAGTCCGCATTACGCATCGTATTTCTTCGCGAAAAGCTTGAAGTGCGCCGTCGCGATCGTCCTGTCATTTATTACCGAGACGTATCTTTATTCAAGTAAAAACAAAAATTACACGGGACTTTTCCTCTCCTTCGCGAACGCGCGGATTCATTGACGTGATCTATGGTGGGTGTCTTCGGCGGGGAATCGGACCGCCAGAGTGGGAGATGAATTATAAAGTGGCGTTCTACGGTGAGAGGTCTTACAGTTACACTTTGCCCGCTTGCCGCACCAAAGCCGCGCCGTGGCACGTGCTCAAGCCTCGCTCGTGTCACGTGTGTACCGGAGTGCATCGACGAGAGATTCATCGAGAGACGAGGGCCGCGCTCTCCCGCCGGCGTAACGTTAGTATCATTTATGTTTCATACGAGTATCCCGGGGAGTCAGTCCGCGTCACTTCTCCGCGTCTCCTTCTCGACTTCTCCACCTTCGTCGTTTTCATCTCCCACGGCGACACGCGTTATCGCGGTATCTAAACTGTGCAACGCTTAACGCCGGAGGAGCGCGTCCCCCCGCGGAAAGGGTTTTACGGGACACCGGCGGCTTATCGATTCGTGTCTGCGCTCGCACACCGCGGGGCCCTATCGTGTCTTCCCTCTTTTTTTCCCCCCTCCTCCCTTTTTCGCACAATCTCGTGTTGTAGCTCGATTGCGATAAATCATACGCGTGTTCGCCATATACAGAGTGTTTCGGGAAGAAAGGTCAATATTCTGGGAGGTGATAGTATCGGTCATTTTAAGCAAAAATGTTCATATGAATATACGTCCCATTCCCCACTGTTTCCGAGGTAGAGCACATTTTGTTGACGTCCCCGTTCAGATAAAACGTGAACACTGGGAAGCATTCCGTTTTCACGCAATGTACTGAAAACCTTGGAAAACACTTTACGATTCGGAATTCGGCGTGTAGGAAAGCGTCGACGGGATTCTTCAACAGCAGCAGCAGCACCTACCATCGCAGAAACCGTAAACAAACAGCGTATCTGCATATTCGACATTTGTGAGTACGCGAGGCATTTTGAACATTTCTACAATGTGATCAGCACAACAGTCAACAGACGTGTAAGAATAAATTCCCGCAGACGTTTATGAGGTTGGATGAAGGGTGAAGTGTTTAGAAAAAAAAGTAGATACACGAGACATTCAAGTAGCTCTATCTCGGAAACAGTGGGGAATGGGACGTATATTCATATGAACATTTTTGCTTAAAATGGCCGATACTATCACCTCCCAGAATATTGACCTTTCTTCCTGGGACAACAGTTTGTATGTTCAACAGTTTGATGTGTGTACATTATAAATGGCGGCCATAGAACACGACCCCCCTACCGCTCGTGTAATTCGTGATTCACGTGACCCAGGGGAGGCTTGGACGTTACGAAATTAGCGCGCGTTAATTAACGTCGGCACGATTTTCTGCCGCCGCGCGGGCGGAAGGAGCGAGGTTAATGTTACACATTTGTCGCGCGACCAATTTTTTAAGCGTGTCGATTGGCTGCGGGATAGCAAGATTCTCGAGTATCTAGAAATTTTCTATTCAGCGGCCGGTCAACTTAAAAATTTTTCCGTACGACAAGTGTACGAGGGATATCTGGAAAGTAAGGTTACATTTTTTTAATTAAAAAATGCATATATTTCAACGAAACTTACAGGTGTTGTTAATGTGGTTGTACACTATTTTTCAACACAGTCGCCTCCAACTTCAATACATTTTGTCAGCCGTGGGACGAATTTTTTTATGCCAGTATGATAAAACGCCCGCGCCAACTTCATATCGCTAACGATTTCGTGAACAACAGCACGTGAAATTTCAGGACGCATTTCATGGAGATCGTCAATTGTCGAACGGCGATCGGAAAGAAGGTGTTCTTCAATTTTGTGCACAATTTCAAGGAATTTCAACGACGGAAGGACGTTCATGACGAAGAGAGGAGTGGACGGCCGTCTGTTGTGTCTCATGAAATTGTGCACAAACTTGAAGAACACCTTCTTTCCGATCGCCGTTCGACAATTGACGATCTCCATGAAATGCGTCCTGAAATTTCACGTACTGTTATTCATGAAATCGTTAGTGATATGAAGTTGGCGCGAGAGTTTTATGATACTGGCATGAAAAGGCTCGTCTCACGGCTGACAAAATGTATTGAAGTTGAAGGCAACTGTGTTGAAAAATAGTGTACAACTACGTTAACAACACCTGTAAGTTTCATTGAAATGTGTGCCTTTTCGAATGAAAAAAAATGTTGCAACCTTAATTTCCGGATATCCCTCGTAATATTAGCCTAATACGCGATTTTCGTACGGCGCACGAACGACGAATTATGTAAATTGATCGCGGTAATCATTGCGCTTAGTCCAGCCGACGACTCTTTGTGGGCCCCGTATCTCCGCTCCTCCGGGCGCTAATGCGCGCGCGTAATGGCACAGAAAGGCAGTCGTGTTAATTAGAGATGAATTAATTAACACGCTCGGTTAATTACAATTGCTATTAACTCCTCCCGCTAATTAAAGGGAATATTTATTTACGTTAAACGCTCCTCCGCTGCGTGCGCGCCGCCGCGGACGGAGGCTTATGGTAATGTCGCGATACGGGGCGCTATCTGAAAAATAAAGAATGAATAATTGATGCGCCGCAAACTGCGAGCGCGAAGTATCGGCGACGTTAAAACCGGCGGCCGCGCTCCTCGCTCGGGAATGAAAACGACATAAATATACGTGGCGTGGCAGGTGCTTTTTCCCCCCCTCCGCGTCAAGTTTCCTCGCGCGGGAAAGTGAGTCTACGCGATTTGGATACGGACGATTTGCCGTCCCTGACTTCGATTAGCCGGATATGAGCATTAACCGCCGCGGAAAAAGCGAAACTAGAGTGGGATCGCGCGAAATGCGAATACCGTAGTGACAGGCGGCCTAGCGAGCGCCAATTAAATATGATTTTGCGCGATAGTTGGAATTGCGGCTCACGTGCCGTCATGCGACGCGTAAATCGTGGCTTTACGCGGTTTCGCGTTATTGCGCTTCCATTGATCTGTTAAGTGTACCAAATATCGCAATCAATTTACGATCACGCTCTCGCCGCCGTCTCTTTTTACATCAGCGACAGACACGCATGACGGGATAAACGTGACAATAACATTTAGAGCAGCAATCACGATAGAGACATTGTGTCGCGCGCGTCGGAATTATCGAGTAATAAAAACGACGGGAGAATTATCTCTCTCTCTCTCTCCCTCTCGCATTGTGGCAAACAAACGTAGCTTTACAGAGATCCATCGCGTAGCGCAATAACAGCGTTGTCGTTCGACCGCAGCCACTTGTCACGATAATCGTTGTTCACAGGATGTCGTATAACAATCTATCAGTTGGCCCAACATGCCCGATGTCCCATCTCGGGCCGAGCCTCGCCCAGGTCTGCCCGGGGTCGCAGTTTTTGACGTTTATGACGATCCTGGATATGCTCGTGCGAACGCAGGACAAGGTGTCTCAGCTGTGCGAGCGCGTGAAGACGACGATGCCGCCCGAATACTACTACGACTTCATCGTCATCGGCGGTGAGTTAAAAAAAAATCGGATCCGAATTCACCGATTAAAGCGTCGCCGGGTTGGAATTTGAGCTAACGACTTACAAATCTCCCTTCTCTGCCGGCAATTTATCAAACTCGCTGTTCGCGCTATCGCGATAAAATTGCCGTAAAAACCGCGTCGTGGAAGAGCCGAACGAGAAAAAGCATTTTTTCAAACTTTTTAAAATGTTTCAAGATATAAAGTATAAATTGTGATGCAGCGTGCAGTATGAATTTGCGCCAACTCTCGACACTGTCGTTTCAGAGAAATTAACTCAATATTGGATTGATAGCTTTAATATCGTGAAATTTGAAAAATGCCATCTCTTATAGCGAGTTCGATTGCTTGCACTAGTGCGCACTGAATGTATACACCCAGAAAAAAGTTTCTTTGAAATAAAACAAATTTTCTTCGAGTTTTAACCTTACTAGACTTTTATTTAATTTCAAAGAAGTGATTTCTCTATGTTAACCCAAATTTTATTTCATCGACACTGAAATCTCTAAGAGAATTTGTATATGTATATTTCTTCAAATCTAGTAGTTTCAGCAGAAATAACTAAAAATTTTGTAGATTCAAAGAAACGTGATTTCAACGTATCTCATTTGTTTAACTTAAATACATTTTTTCTGCGTGTACCAAGGCTCGTTTATAGTCAATTCTTATGTTTAAGTTTGTATTATACACACGATTAAAAACTATTTAACCAGAAAAATGATCCGTACGGATGCTGTGCAGATGCATTTTTCTGGGTTTCAAGAGATATTTGAGACAATCCTTAAATATAACAATTGACCATAAACAAGCCTTCGTGTGCACTCAGTGCGCACTCGAATTCGCTGTTAGTCAAAATGCGAGGGGAAAACCGCTGAGGGCATTGTGGTGTACAGATTTGCGGTGTACAGAATTGCATTACTGGGCATTACTAGGCACTTTTTGGGCATTTTACGGCATTAGGCCTTGCTGGGGCATTATAAAGATAAAATAAGATAAAACAAGATAAATAAGATAATAAGATAAAGTAATGCCTACTGGGCATTAGTACACTGAAAAAAATTTCTGGTTGAATATGGACGAATCAGATAATTCCTTTAGGATTTACCAGAATTCCTTTAGGATTTACCAGAATTTCTGTAGGATTACACTGAAAAAAATTTCTGGTTGAATATGGACGAATCAGATAATTCCTTTAGGATTTACCAGAATTCCTTTAGGATTTACCAGAATTCCTGTAATCCTACAGAAATTCTGGTAAATCCTAAAGGAATTCTGGTAAATCCTAAAGGAATTATCTGATTCGTCCATATTCAACCAGAAATTTTTTTCAGTGTAGGCATTGGTGTACAAAATTTTGGTCAGCAATTTCCCCCTCGTCAAAATCTGTCTACGTCCAAGTCCAGGTTCATCCGTCATGCAGCGAGCTCTCTATCTGCAAGACTCTTCTAGCTGCTCGCATTACCGCGCGTTTTTCTGATGGTGCTATCGTTCGGAAATTGTTGTTCCACAAAACGGCGGCAGAAACTATTATCTAATTAAGGATAAGAGCGTAACGGCTATTTGCCGCGACGAAAGGAAGAGTCGAGGAAAGTAATGGCCGGTTGATTTTCTAACGGACAAGTGAAATTGATCGACGTAATTGGAATGTATCCTTGTGCACTTCTTGCGTTTACGCGCGTGATCGGACAACCGGTTCGCGTATCGGTTCGATCGCGCGATAACAATCGAGCCGACCTTATTGGAGCAACGGGCCGGTGTGTGTTGTGAAAATGCGCGAACGACAAATCTCGATTTTGCCGATCGGCGCCGACGCCGTTATCTCGGACGCGAGATGCCGCCGATTTCGACAAACAGACCAAAACGGCGCAACGGAAGCCAGACGATAGCGCGCGGCTCGTAAATGCCGTTCATTACGTGTGAAAGTCAGCGAAGCGCGGTTTGGAAATAATAAAATAACGCGTAACCTTCAAACAGATAGAAATGACTGCACACAACGCGTGGAAATGCCGCTCCATAACCCACATTTTTTCGTTTTCCTTCTCCGCTTTTTTTCTTTTTTTTTTTTTAGACAATGGAGAGCTAATTCTAAAAACGGGAAGTGAAACGAAATGCATAATCCATAAATGATGGAGCATTAATAACTCAAGCAAATGTATACGGTGATTATTCGTAGTACTTGCACATTACTGTCGTCCTATATATCTAGCAAATAGTACTTTGATAATATAACACAATAATACAATATAAACGGATATAATCGCGCGCTATCACGCAATGGTTCGATCGGCACACGATATCCGCGCCAATATAGCGCGATTGTATTAATGAAATATTTACCGGGGATACATAATTCACCGGGAAAATGAAAAACAACTGATGTCTCGCTCGTAAATTCAACGACGTTGGCATATATCAAGAAGACAATTCCTAGCATGTATACATATACAATATACATGTGTTTTATATATGCGCACACGGGTGTGTTCAAAAATGTGACGAAAAAAACTATAAATACCATATATAATTATTTATTAATTACGTATATACAGTACCGGCCAAAAGCATATCACGAGGGGGAAACCGCTGACCAATATCTTGTATGTACACCAATGTCCACTAACGCCCGATGGGCATTACTTTATCTTATTATCTTATTTGTCTTGTTTTACCTTATTTTATCTTATTTTATCTTTATAATGTCCCAGCAAGGCCTAATGCCCCAAAAATGCCTAGTAATGCCCAGTAATACCGCAAATCTGTACACCACAATGCCCTCAGCGGTTTTCCCCTCGTATATCACTTTTAGGTTTTCTGAGCATAACTTTCGTCGAAGTGCACCGAATGTGCTGAAAATTTTACAGTAGGCACCTGATAACAGATACATCTTGTACACGAAGGGTAATGAAAATTGACAAAGTACATCGTGATTTTCGCATTTTTCATTCGAGCACTTTAAAATTAGTTACGCTCAACAAATCGAAAGGTGATATATTATTGGCCGGTTATGTAAATGTATCCTTTTATCTCAGTTTTATATAAATATATACACGGAAAGAATTTTCTCTAAAAATTTATCCTGATTATCATGTGGCATTTCGAGGAATTTTATGCGAGTTTTGAAACGCTGCCATACATTTTACTAATAATTGTACTTCGTATACATTTTACTAGCAAAATGAAAGGTAAAATTTCAAACAACTCTCACAAAGGTTTCGTCGAAATGCCACGATGACTCGCGAACGCACGATTTTCAAGGTAAATGTTAAGAGAAAATTCTCCCCGCGTAAATACATTCTTTACCATCAGACTTCGGAACACGCGTTACTTAATGCTACCTCGAATGTTACAAACGAACGGAGTTTCTCAGCTCGGGGACTAATTTCCTACACAATTAATACTTCTCGCTGTCGTCCGTTGTAACGGCAATAATGTGTAAACTCACGAACTCGCGAATGTTTTCCCCGCTGGGGAGAAGAAAGGATTAATAGTAAGTCTCCCGACGCAGAGCGCGATATTCGTCGCGACTTTTGGACATTTACATTCGGCCCCGACGAGTCTGGCCGTAAAGGAAGAAAAAGAGGGTTGGGGAGGGGGGGTAGGAGGGAGAGGAGAAAGGAGAAGCACATAATTGAATATTTTAGTATGCGGTTGATAAAACCCGTCGCGTAAATCCCGTCCCGGAAATTCGCCGGGCGGGAGCGGACGATACCCGAAGTCGGGGATCGAGCGATCGAAACTAATTTTCTTTGCTTCCCTTTCGGTGATTATTCCCGATAGGACTCCCGGGATATCCGGACGGGAAGATGGAATTTTTCAGTGACTCGACCGGTTATCCGGTCGCCGCATGGATGACCGCGCTTCGCTCGCGATATCGACCGACCCTCTTGCCGATTCCGAATTTTCCACCCCGCTCCGCCTCCCCTCCCCTCCCCCCCCCCCGCCCTGTAGGTAAGAATACCTGCGCCGTGCTGGGGTAGTGAGAAAAGCGTGAAGAATGAACGCGAAAAGTCCCTTCGTCTCCCGCGGGTATTATTACGATTGCTCCTAATTAGAGACACACCCCGACCGCCGGCACATTGCGCGAGGATGCGGCGGGTCCTCCGGAGTAAACGCGTGTCGCCCGAGAGACGCGCGGACGCAGAAATGAACGCGCGGCAACGGACACCCGTGTGGAGTGATTAATCGTCACGTCGGTGACCGCGGGTGTATTACCGCGGAGGTGAGGAGAAAATATTAATAATACCGTCGCGCTGAGTAATTAGCGTGATGCTTATTAATTATTCCGTCAATGCCCGGTCGGAAGAAAGAAGCTCGTGGAATAATTATAACGGCGCGATGCTCGAAGCAGAAGTTGAAGGGAGGGGGGGGGGCGGTAAAAGGGTCGACTCGACTGGAAAGAAAAGAAAATGGGTTTTGTCATTATCATTAGAGCTGCGAGGGCGGCGCGCCGTCGCGATGGAGCCGCCCCTCCCCCCTCCTCCCCCGCTGAATGAAATCCCGATATGAATAGCGCGGCGTGACGTGATGTAATTGGAATAATTGCGAAGATGTCGTAACATCCCACTTAAAAAAAATATAAATTACGCTCAAAGCAAATCGACGGAAGGCGGGGGCGGGGGGAGGCGAGACGCGAGGAGTCTCTCGCGCCGAGGGAACCGAGACGAGAGCTTATTATTCCGCCAACAGTCGACGTAAAGAATGATGAAGGTGCACTTGTAACAATCCGGAAAATAAGCGCCCTTTATCGCTCCCGGGGTCGCCTGAATGCGCGGAAGATGGATTAGAAAATCAAGATAAAACACCGGGCTCTCTCTCTCTCTCTCTCTCTCTCTCTCTCTCTCTCTCTCTCTCTCTCTCTCTCTTGCGCGGAAAAGGGCGCAAAGTGAGGAAAACGAACGCCGGCCGGCATCCGCGCCGGCTGATTATGCGGTCCGTAAATACATAGCTTCCGCGTGCGACGCGAGATCCAAACCCTCGAAAAATCAAGGGG